AGAGAGAGAGAGAGAGGGGGGGGGGGCGAGTGTGTAAATGAATAAGAAACAACAACGGAGTGTCTTTAAAAACCATCTTTTGTGCAGAACTACTTACACCACAGATTCAAATCTCAGTTTGACAGTTTAACTGCTGAGCCTAAGCCTCCGTTACTAACTCGAAAACGTCACTTTAGAACTAGTAACGACAGAACATTGAGTTGCTTCATTAAACGTTTATTGTATTACTGTATTAAAAGCAGTGTATAGAGTAGGGGAACTATGACGTCAGAATCCGGAAGAGTAATTCGCCTCGGGTTCCTTTCGAGATTTTCCTATGGGGTTTTATAATGGGGTTTTTCAATTTATGTGTAAAATAAAGCCTGTGGTGAACATGACTTGACGATGCTTTGGCGTTTTGTTCTACAACGTAAATTACACACATCCATACCCAAAACAAAATTTGAAGCAGTTATGTTCATTTTTGAAAATGTTAATAAGTAACTAGATAAGAACGTTTGGGCTGTGAGTGTGTGCAGTTGTAGAACAAAACGTAAAAGTATCGTCAACTATATTGTATTGTATTTGATATTTGATTTGAAAACGTGGGTTGAAAGCGGCATGACCAAATGAATGACAGTAGGACGGATAGATAGCGGTTGATCATTGCTGGTGAACCGGCACTTTTCGTGTTGATACCGCAAGATACTAGGCTATCTGCGCAGAACTTATGGCAAGCCGTTTTTTACTGGATTGGATGTATGGGATTCTTTTGATTAAATATTTCTCGTAAGCATAGATGCGTGTTTACATTTTAGTTAGCAAGTTCTTAATGAATCTTGCAAAAGGTTAAATTCGCATGCGTGACTGCTGATTTGCCAGAAAACGTTCGTTATGCTCCACCTAAAGCTAATAAATCAACGAGATGTTTTGATCTTTGATCTAAGTACAGTTATGTGAGTCTAGAATGTTTACGCTGCACTAAACTGACGAAAAACACTCCGATCCGCAAACAAACAGACGAAGAAGAGGAGGATGATGACGGTCAAGCTCATACAAGGAGAAAGGTTTGTAGTTTTAGTTTCCACATTCTTATTTTTATGAATGTAACTGAATGTAATTACTTTAAAGATGTTAGAGTGAATAGGACCTGTTTGTACTATTACTATTATAATTCTGTAGAAGAACATTATTTTCAAATAATCTCATTTAACTAAATATATAAGCTAGTTGCAGTGATTCTTACGATGGCAATGTAACGTTACTGCTGCAATAAAATGTATATGCATCAATATGTCTGAGATCATTTGCAGTAGCTGTGCCCTGCTTTTACAGTTGCTAAATGTAAGCAGACTTACATGTTCAGGTGCTCACCACTGCCAAAACACATGTAACTGACTACAACAAAACACAGAATCACAGTTTTGTTGCTACTTTAGTTGCTGCTTCACTTAGCATGTAGAAACATACAGGAATAACTGAATATTTATCTTAAATGTGCCACAAATGTCTTTTAACAATGTTTTTTAGTAACCAAGAGAAGTGTCATCACAGAAGAAATGGCAGAAGTTCCTCAGACAGCTGTGAACACCGAGCAGTGCTTGGAGTCAGACAGTAGACTTCATCTTTATTATACTTCTCTGACTGGACGAGCAAGGAGCAGTTAGAGTCCATGAGAAAGTCAGTTCAAGTACATGTCTGCACTGACCATGATTATACTATGTGATATAATGTTTTCTGCAATAATTGGGGGAATCTTAACTGAGGAGACAAACTGACCAACAGGAAGCTATGGATCTATTGAATGTGTATTTTTCAAGCATTTTATTGTGGCATTCACTGTTATTTTTCTGCACAGTGATAACTAGTGAAAAGTGTTTCTACTAATTTACTTAAAAGTATAGTTAACCCAGAATTCTGTCATCATTTACATTAGTACATCAATTCCCCCTCATTTTTTTTTTCAAACCCCTGACTTGTTTTTCTGCAGAACTCAAAAGAAGATACTTTGAAGAATGCTGGTAATCAAAACCAACAAGTTTGTCATGTGTAGATGACATAAAGGAAGTAAATGATTTTCATTTTTGGGTAAACTATCTCTTTAATTAGGATGATACACACTTTAAATTTCAATCATACTGGACACAGCCACTTAATGTGCTAGAATTAAATGGGAAAATAATAATAAGTAAATAGTCTTTCAAACAACATGTGCTTTGATACAATATATATACATTTACTTTCAGTTTGGTGCATTCAGATAGACCTTTAGTAATAGATACTTGTGCATTATTTACTCTTTACAGGTGCAGAAATGAAAGCTCCCAAGCAAAGAACTCACTGGACTAAGATGTGGAAAGACATGCTGCACAATGACCGACAATGAGCAACAACCAAGAACAGTATTCACTGATTACCTTTAAAAATTATTCATAGTAACAGTTAGGTAATAATTATTTTACCAAGTACAAAATGTTTAATTCAAAAACTTTGCCATTTACCAATGTGTTTCTCAAAACACCTTTTAAATTTTTTTATGTTTTAACCTTTATTAAATGTTACAGTCCAAGTGTACATATAAATGCCTCATTCATTCAAGTAAATGCATGGGTAATTTTGCAAAATGTGTTAAATATTTTATCTACACTTATTGTATAACTGCTGCTTTTTTGCTGTAATTGCATGGTTTTGTAAA